ACACACACACACACCCAGCCCAGCCCTGCAGGCGGTCCTCCTTCACACACACACACACACACACACACACACACACACATGGCCCAGCCCTGCAGGCAGTCCTCCCTCTTCCTTTGTCCAGCTTCCCAGGGCAAAAAGGTGGCACCTGGTCGCACCCCTCCTCCCCCATCCAAGGTTACAAGAGAGCCTGGGTCATTGGGTACGGGGGAGGCTGCCCCAGCCTAGCACACCCAAAATTCCCATCCCCCCCTGCGGGCATGGGTGCAGTGCCCAGGGAAACTGAGGCACATGTGGAGTGACTGCAGGACAGAAGAAATCAGAGGCGAGCGAACAGAGCAAATCCAGGCCCTGCTTCGTCACACAGATGCCAAAATAAAGTGTGGGGTGGGAAGAGGGATAGAGGGACTTTCCCCCGAACCTTTGTCAGCCCCTTCACTCCCATTTCCCAGGGCTGTGGCCATAAAGGGCTGCCAGCTCTGCTTCCGGGGAGGAGGCTGCTCTCACAGCCAAGTTCCCAAATATTCGCTCATGGCCAGAAGTTTCACGGTTGGAGGCACCTGGATACTTTTTAAGACGCCGCTGGCAACCTAAATACTCTGACACACCTGTTGCTAAATGCCTTTTAGGCTACATCTACACTACATAGATATTTCGGAACAAGCTATTCCGGAATAGTTATTCCAAAATAGCTTATGTTGAAATAGCATGTCTACTCTGCAGGGAAGCCTCAAAATTAGTCTGAGGCAGGCTTCCCTAATATAGACGTGCTATCTCCATTTAGAGCCTCAGGAGGAATAAGTTAGAATAGCCCTCGTGAGGGGCTATTTCGAAATAGCAGAATTGGAGTGTCTACACACGCCCTATTTCAGAATAGCTATTTTGGAAGAGGCGTTATTCTTCCTAGAATAAGGTTTACAGGAATTGGAATAAGCCATCCGTTATTTCAAAATGATTTTGAAATAATGGAATTGCTGTGTAGACACTCGCAAAGTTATTTCGGAATAATGGCCGTTATTCCGAAATAACTTGGCTGTGTAGATGCACCCATAGGGTGTGTCTAGACTACCTAGTTTTGTCGACAAAAGTGGACTTTTGTCGACAAAACTATACCAGCGTCTACACTACCGCTGAGGTCTTTTGGCATAACATCGCCAGAACTCAGCAGTTTTGTCGACGCTGGTAAACCTCATTTTACGAGGCATAACACCTTCTGTCAACAGAACTCTGTCGACAGAAGGTGTTATTGCCTGTAACATTGCGTCCAGACTACGGAGTTCTGTCGACAAAGTACGCTTATTAAGTTTGCAGATGATACCAAACTGGGTGGCTGGGGGCGGGGCCGGGTGCCCGCTGAATCCCCCCTGTGCCCGGGGGGGGATGCTCTGGCCCTGGCTGCCCGCAGTGCCGCCCAGTGCCCGGCTGTGCCTCCTGCAGAGGCCGAGAGCGTCCTGGGTGGGGGCGTGTGGGGAGAGGGGGGGAGTGGCTGAGAATTGGGGGGCAAACAGGTGACAGACAAACCAACCGACAGAAAAGCCTCCCTGCCTGGCCCCCAGCTGAGCGGAGAAACGTCCCCCTGGCGCCAGAGCACTGCAGGGCCCAGCCTAGTCGCTTTGTGCGCTCCAGCCCCACGGCGTGGGGAGGGGGCGACGGTGGAGGAGCCCCACGCACCCAGGCCTTAGGTTCCCCACCCGCCTTCTAAGCACTGAGCATTTTAGGCCTGGCTGGACTAGAGAAGGGGGCACCAGGGGAGTTGCCGCTGAAGGCGCGCGGCCGCGCACAAACACCCCTCTGCCGCCCACCTCCCTTGCGGAGCCTTGCAGCGGCACTCGCCTTCCTGCTGGCCGGGGAATGGCGCGGTTGTTTTCCTGATCTGGTGGAGGGCGGCTGCCCCGTTGTGTCCCTGCTGGGGCAGCCTCGCCCCACCTCCAGCTGCGATTGGGGCTTCTGTTTGTTTCTGTTCATACAGTTTGCTGCAGTTTTCCATCCCCGAGGACCTGCGTGAAGCTGGTCCGACCAGAGATACGGGGATCGATTTTTAAGAGTAAGAGGTTTTGTTTTTAAAGCAGGGGTGAGGAACCTAATACCCCAGCTCACGTGAGTGTGGCCCTCGAGACTCAAGGTTCCCACACTAACGCTCTAGCTCCCCTCCAGATTGGTGATAGAAATGTAGCCGTGTTAGCCTGGGGTAGTTGAAGCAAAATGCAGGACAATGTAGCACTTTAAAGACTAACAAGATGGTTTATTAGATGATGAGCTTTCGTGGGCCAGACCCACTTCCTCAGATCAAATAGTGGAAGAAAGTAGTCACAACCGTATGTACCAAAGGATACAATTAAAAAAAAGAACAAATATGAAAAGGACAAATCACATTGCAGAACAGGAGGGGGATGCGGTGGGGGGGAGGGGGAAGGAAGGTAAGTGTCTGTGAATTGATGATATTAGAGGTAGGGAGAGTGGGATGTTTGTGAGTTAATGGTATTAGAGGTGATAATTGGGGAAGCTATCTTGGTAATGGGTAAGATAGCTTGAGTGTTTGTTCATTTCTTTTTGGAGAGTGTCGAATTTTAACATGAATGACAGTTCAGAGGATTCCTTTTCAAGTGCAGATGTAAAAGGTCTTTGTAGCAGAATGCAGGTGGTTAAGTCATTGAGAGAGTGTCCTTTCTGGTTGAAATGGCAAGAAACTGTTTTTTCTTTGTGATCTTGTCTGATATCTGTTTTGTGGGCATTAATCCTTTGGCGAAGTGTCTGAGATGTTTGTCCAATGTACATAGCAGACGGACACATAGGACTTCCAAAGGATCCACATAACTACAGTGGTTGTACAATCCCGTAACATGCGATGCCGTGTGGCACTTCCGAGACCATGTGATTCCCCATCACCACTTGCAATACAAACTGGATGTTAAAACCTTATGGCTGTCTGCAAATCCCCAATTCTGCGCACGCTGAAGTGCCCGCTTGGCTTTTCTGTCACTGCTTTTAGTGCACGCCTGGATGGTCACAGCCTTCCCTTCAGGCTGCATTGTTGCTTGCGATGCATTTCGGGGATGTTCTTGATTCTCGCAAGCGGACCGACGTGTATGGCCAGAGTCTAATACGTTCGAAAAGGAATCGCTCCGTTTCCCCTTTGCATTCGTGAGGCCAGGGGACACAGGGCTGACCTCACCCTTTTCCTTTATGTTTTTGCAGTGGGATACCTAATGCATGATGTTTACCCCCTGGTAACTGACCTGTGAGTTTGTCCCAGCTGGAGAGGGTTTCGAGGGTGTCTGTGAGTCCCAGAGCTGCTGCCCCGGGCAGGGACCCAGCCCGGTTCAAAGCCATGTCAGAGGCTGATACACCCAGGGAGAGCCAAGGCCTATGTCCATGGGACACTCGCCCTGGCTCCCTAGGAAGAGGGAGGATGCTGAAAAGGGGCAGGGAAGGGACTGGAAGGGGCAGCAGGAGCAACAGGCAAGGAGGGAGCCAGGCCAGGCCGGGGGGTAACAAACTCACTGGGTTTCTTCCCACAGGGCAGAGCCCAAGAGTCCCAGCGCGTGTCTGCAGGGGCAGGGCTTGGGGAGACTGGGGGGGGGCCCCCATCGCCCCTCTCGCCCGACAGGCCCAGGAGACACGTCGAGAGTTCGCTCCAGAGCGCCCGTCTGCCAGGAGACGGGCAATGGCCAGGATGGAGCCCGCTCAGGTAGGGGGTTTCTAGGCAGAGGGAGGGAGGAGACAGGGTGGGATGAAGCTGCTGAGTTTCTGAGCAGGTCCATGGGCAGGGTGTGACCGCGCCCCCATTTCTAACCCAGGCCCCAGCCCCCCAGGGCAGGGCTGTGAAAATGGCCCAGACTCCCAATGCTTAGACCTGAGCCCCCAGCCAGAGGTTGCTGGGAAACACAAAGGGAAGCTGCCGGGATTCCTGTCCCTGCCTGTGGCTCAGAGCTCGGCTTCCGCCTCAGCCTCTGGCTCCAAACCCCCGCACTGACTCCTGCATTCTTATACGGATTGTGTGTTGACCACATGGTCCGAATTTTGATGTAGTTTGGCTCTTTATTTTGAACAGTTTGCCTAGCCCTAGTCTAGTAGGGGAGTGTTGAGTGAGAAGGTCCTGTCCTTCTGCGTCTGCTGAGGGGAGGGGGACAAGGATGACTTTCCCCATCCTCTGAAGCCTCCTGGCTGCTCTAAACAGGCTGAAGATGGGATTCTCCTTCTTCCGCCCTCCCAGAGCTTCAGTGTTTTTTCCCCGTGACGACTGGGATGGTGGCTGGGGCTGCAGGCAGTGGGTGAGGGACTCTTGTTGTTGCAGATGCGGGTGACCTTCGAGGAGGTGGCTGTGTATTTCACCCCGGGGCAGGGGGCGCTGCTGGGCCCCGCTCAGAGAGCCCTCTACAGGGACGTCATGCAGGAGAACTACGAGGCGGTGACCTCGCTGGGTAAGGGCGTCCTGGCCCCTCGGGGATTAGGAGCCGTGGGGTCTGCGTGTCCGACACGGGTCAGGTTCTTCCCTGCTCAGGTGGCCTGGACAGGAATGGGTTCCATGGGCACAGCTGCCGGGGGAGAGCGACTTGCATCTCCGTACCCTGTGCAGTGAGACCAGGGCATCAAACCCTAATGGACGTGCTAAATCATGGCTGTGGTGAGGAATTGGTGCTGTGAGACACTATTTTCAAGACTTCATCAGTGTGAAACAATCTTAACCATCCCACATCAAAAGCATAATATTGTACTGTACATAGCCTTTGACAGGCACCTAAAACGAGTGGGAGGAAGGAGCTGGGTGTGAACCAAGGACCAGCTTACTTTCATTTTGTTAATCAGCAGCGCTTTCAAAGGGAGGGCGTCACAATTCCTCCCACCTCCCCACACGTCTGCCTCTCCCCAGGGTGCTCAGTGACCATGTTCCCGTCCTCTTGGATTGCACATTCCCCAGCAGAGCCCGGGGACAGGTTCCACTCACGGAATGTCCCTTGGGACAGACGCTCTCCTGATCTGCTCTGATTTCACTCCCTGCGCAGGGTTTCCCGTTCCCAAACCTGAGCTGATCGCCCGGCTGGAACGAGGGGAAGAGCCCTGGGCGCCCGACCTCCAGGCCAGCGAGGAAAGAGAGATCCTGAGAGGCACCCGCACAGGTGAGGACTGACACAGCATCCGGCATCTTCCCATGCAAGGCAGGGTGTGGTCAGCAGATATTGCTCACGGTTTTTCAGCAGTCCTGGTAGCTGCAGGAGTTTCCTTCCCTGTGAGTGGTTGTGGGGATCACGGAGGCACAAGCCAAATGTTCAGTCTGTGCAACCCCAGTGTGTTGGGTTTTCCCTTGGTGCTGTTCCTCTTTCTCCCCAGCTCAATGATTCCTGCCTGGATTTTCTGTCTCTCCCTGCAGGTGATGGGATAGTGAGTGAGAATGAAGAGGGGAATCAGCAGCAGGAAGTTCCTGGGGAAACGGAATCGCAGGCGACCTTTGTGGGAAGAGCTGAAGGGAATGTTTCCCAGTGCTTGGAACAGGGAGAAGCCTGGGGAAACTGGAGCAGGCTGGGGAAGCTGCTGGGAAACGACCCAAGTGAGCAAATGGATGATTCTGTTAAATGTGGGGAAGGACACAAACATCCCACAGCCCCGCAGACGAACCCCAAGGAAGAGAAACACCAGGAATGGCTCAGTTATAGGAAGGGATTTGTTGTGACCCCAGAGCTTATTACAATGCAGACAGTAGGTACTGTAGAGAAATCACTTCTGTGCTTGGACCATGGGGAAAGCATCAATAACAGCTCAGATCTTAATACTGACAGGGGAAGCCAAATGGGAGAGAGAGGCTCTCAGTGCCCTGACAGAGGGACGTCCTTGAATTGGAACCCAGCCCTGAGTATACATGAGACAAGCCATTCAGAAGAGAGACCCTATAAATGTTTAAACTGTGGAAAAAGTTTCATATACAGGTCATATCTTGTTATCCATCAAAGAATCCACACAGGAGACAGACCCCATAAATGCTTAGACTGTGGGAAAAGTTTCATACAAAGGTCAGACCTCACTAAACATCAGGCAGTGCACACAGGAGAGAGACCCCATAAGTGCTTAGACTGTGGGAGAAGTTACATACAGAGGTCAATCCTTGTTCAACATCAGAAAATCCACACTGGAGACAGACCCCATAAGTGCTTAGACTGTGGGAAATCTTTTATACGGAAGTCATATCTTGTTACTCATCAGAAAATCCATACAGGAGAGAAATCCAATAAGTGTTTAGACTGCGGCAAAAGTTTCCTACAGCGGTCAAGCCTTGTTCTACATCAGAAAATCCACACCGGAGACAGACCCCATAAGTGCTTAGATTGCGGAAAAAGTTTCATACAAAGGTCACAGCTTACTAATCATCAGGCAATCCACACAGGAGAGAAATCCAATAATTGCTTAGACTGTGGCAAAAGATTCCGACAGAAGTCAAGCCTTATTCGACATCAGAAAATCCACACTGGGGACAGACCCCATAATTGTTTAGACTGTGGGAAAAGTTTCATAGAGAGGTCACAGCTTGTAGCACATGAGAAAGTCCACAGCGGGAACAGACCACATAAGTGCTTAGATTGTGGGAAAAGTTTTATACAGAGGTCACACCTTACTAAACATGAGGCCATCCACACAGGAGAGAAACCTCATAAGTGCTTAGACTGTGGCAAACGTTTCAGGGAGAGGTCATTTCTCATGAAACATCAAGCAATCCACACAGGAGAGAAATCTTATAATTGCTTAGATTGTGGAAAATGTTTCATACAGAGGTCAAGCCTTATTGGACATCGGAAAATACACACAGGAAACAGACCCCATGAGTGCTCAGACTGTGGGAAAAGTTTCATATGGCGGTCACATCTTGTTGCACATCAGAAAATCCACAGAGGGGACAGATCCTATCAGTGCTTAGACTGTGGAAAAAGTTTCATACAGAGTTCACACCTTACGAAACATCAGGCAATTCACACAGGAGAGAGGCCCCATAAGTGCTTGGACTGTGGGAAAAGTTACATACATAAGTCAGGCCTTGTTCAACATCAGAAAATCCACACAGGCGGGAGACCCCATCAGTGCTCTGACTGTGGAAAAAGTTTTATATACAGGTCAGTCCTTCTTCGTCATCAGGCAATTCACAGAGGCGAGCGCTCCCAGAAGTGCTTGGACTGTGGAGAAAATTTCATACAGAGGTCAGACCTCATTAAACATCAGGATATCCACATAGGACACAAAAACTATAAGTGTTAAACTTAAAAAAAATCATGGTGAACTCAGATGTTGTTAAACAACAGGAAAACCTGTTTAAGGAGAGACACCCCATGAGTGTCTAGACTGCTGGAAATGTTTCAGATGGAGGTCAGAGGTTTGGAAACAGCAAGCACTCCACAGAGGACAGAGACTGCATAATTTTTTGGACTGTGGGACAATGTTCACCAGAAGATCAAGTCTGGTAATACATCAGGGGTTCTGCATAGGAGAGAAGACCCCAAGAGTGATTGGACCATGAAGAATGTTTTACACAGAGGTCAAGTGTGAACCTGTGAGCGCTCGCTTGGGCTGAGGGAAAGGTTTCAGAAACAGATCAGCCCTTCTCCACATTAGGCTGTCCACACTGAAGAGAGAATCTGTAAGTGCTTAAACTGTGGGATAAATTTGAGAATCTCTGTTTTACATGAGAGAATTCACACAACTGTGAGACCCCTTTAGTGCCTAGAGTGTGAGAAATGTTCCTCACAGAGATCATCTACTGTAACACATCAGGTAATCCACATGGGAAAGAGACTTTATAAACCCCTGGGCTATGGGAAAAGATACAAATCAACTCAGCTCTTGTTTTACATCAAAGAATCCATACTTGAGAAAGACCTTATGAATGCTTAGACTTTGGCAAATATTGCACCAATAGCTCTCACTTTATTAAAAAATGGAAATTCACATGCAATCTAAACTTTTGTGACCCATGGTCCAAAAGGGTTGAGAACCTGGGAGGCTAATTGACCTGGATTCAAACTTTAGAGACATGTCCATCAAGTGTGTATTTGAAGCCATTGCGTGGGAGATGGACTAGAACTTTTAAATATAAACTTGTCTTTTTAAAAAATTGGGAAAAGATATTAGCGCTGTTGATTACTTGCTGCTAAGTCACATGATTAACTCAAAAATTGATCATAGTTAGAAAACAATCTCAGTGAATCATATTGTTGTATACAGTCGAATACAAGTTGAAATTTCTCCAATATTTTTGGGGTAGTTAGAAAACAATCTCAGTGAATCACATTGTTATATACAGTAGAATACAAGTTGAAATTTCTCCAATATTTTTGGGTGTTTTTCTGTGTCTTTAAATAAATTTAATTCTATTGCACCATAGAAAACAAAGTGTACAATACTCACTTTATATTATTATTGCAAATATTTGCACTGTAAACATGTTAAAAATAGTATTTCTGAGTTCACCTCACACACGTCCTGTCGTGCAAACTCCTTGTCATGAAAGTTTAATTTAGAAATGTTGATTATTTTCGTTAGACAGCCTCCATCCACTCTTGAAGCTGTTTATTCTTTCTCTAGCTGAGTCACGGTTGCTTTGGCTGCTTGAGGACTGTCTCTCAGCTCTTCATGAAGACTGAGGACTTGGGGATATTTCTTCTCCACTGTAGTAGTGAGAGAGCATCAAAGGTCACTGCTAGACTCTGGCTACGTCTAGACAGGCAGGATTTGCCGGAAATGCTTTTAACGGAAAAGTTTTCCGTTAAAAGCATTTTCGGAAAAGAGCGTCTAGATTGGCACGGACGCTTTTCCACAAAAGCACTTTTGCACAAAAGCATCTGTGGCCAATCTAGATGCGCTTTTGCGCAAAAAAGCCCCGGTCACCATTTTCGCGATCGAGGCTTTTTTGCGCAAAACAAATCTGAGCTGTCTACACTGGCCCTTTTGCACAAAAGCTTTGCGCAAAAGGACTTTTGCCCGAACAGGGGCAGCATAGTTTTTCCACAAGAAGCACTGATTTCAGACAGTAGGAAGTCAGTGTTCTTG